ACGGGGAAAGGAGTCCAAAAGGAAGCTAAGGGAGATAAAATAAGGAATTTTAGTATTCTAAATATTTATTCCTTTTAAAGTGTCAATTGATCCCCATCACATTAGGATATGGAATACTAATTTTAATTTTAATTAGATTTATTAGAATAGTGTATGGCTTTTGGCTTTTGGCATTTGGGCAAGCTATTTAGGTATTAGATCAATTTAAAATATATCCATTCATACAAGATGGGTAAAAAACTAAGAATTATTGTAAAAATTATAAAATATAAAATTTTAATAGATACTTAGTGATTTTTGTAATTTTGATTTAATTAATTAATTAATTAAAATTATTTACGTGTCAATATATTAAAATATATGTAAATTTTTAAATTTTCATATAAATTAATTATAAAAAATATATTTATTATACTCTTAACATATATATTAAATATATAAATTAAAGAAACCTTAACAAAAATATCTAATATACAAAATGAGATTTTCTACCATATATATCCTTAAGGTACATGATAATAATGTAATAAATATGTTCTTTTGTAATTAATATATATAAAATGATAAAAATTAATTTAAATTTAATTAATTAACTAATTAAAACTATTTACGTAATAATAATATTAAAATAAAAATAAATTTTTATTATGTTTTGTATAAATTAATTGTAAATATATATATTTATTACTTTTTAATATGTGCCTTATGATACATATAAGATAAATCTATATAAAATTTAATACAAAATGTAATTTATTGACAATTTAAATTGATCAATTACCATCTCCTTTTAGGTAAAGTAAAGGTTTTATTGATTTTCAACCCTTAATACTTTACTGGGATTAAAACCAACTTTTAGCCTCTTACCTTACAAAATTAGTAGGTTTTAATTTTTAACTTTTAACTTTATAATATGACACTTTTAGCTCTTTATCTTACAAAATTAATAGGTTTTAACCTATCACCTTATAAAATTGATAGGTTTTAGCTATTCACCTTATATTATAACACTCTTAGCCCATTATCTGTATGAATTGAAGAAAATAGTCCTTATTTAACATCAAGTTATAGTGTTCTATTAGTTCTGTTAGTAGATTGTCAGTTTTGTTAGCTAACTATTAATTTTGTTGTGGATTATCAGCATTTGTTAGCATTCCGTTAATGAAACTAACAAATAAAATTGAATTTAAATTTCATGTTTTTATAATAGAATACTAACGGATGTTAACAGTCAACTAATAGAACTAATATAACGTTATAACTTGATATTAGGTGAGGACTATTTTCTTTAATTCATATCGGTGAGGAGCTAAAAATATCATAATATAAGGTAAATGGTTAAAACTTACCAACTTTGTAAGATAAGAGGCTAAAACTTATCAACTTTATAAGATAAAGGGTTAAAACTGTCATATTATAAGGTGAGGGTTAAAACTTACCAAATTTGCAAGGTGAGGGGCTCAATGTTGGTTTTTGCCCTTTATTGGCGGGAATTCCGTAAAAGAAAGAATTTCTTTAAAATAACGACATAATATAAAATTATAAAATAAACGTTATGATCAGATACGTGTCATTTCCGTGTTTGAGAATACAACCACCAGCCTTTCCTCATTGGTTCGATATTTCCAAACAAACTTTCAACCCTTTGCCGTTCTGCATGTGCATCATCCGCACCCAAACCAAACCAAACCACACCACCTTTTATATCTTCCTTTCAAATCTACAGGCGGGTACAGCGAACCAGCGAGCGAAAACCATGGGATCGGAGGTGGTGGAGGGATCAGAGCCGCTGCTTTCGGCGACCAACAAGATCGGTACCGTCGTATTGGAACGGGTGCCGGAATGGAAGGAGCAGATCACGATCAGAGGGTTGGCCGTCAGTGCCATGTTAGGGACTCTGTTTTGCATCATTACGCACAAACTCAATCTGACCGTCGGTATCATCCCCTCTCTGAACGTCGCCGCTGGCTTGCTCGGATTCTTCTTCGTGAAATCGTGGACTGGTTTTTTGTCCGGGTTAGGATTTCAGGTTAAGCCTTTCACGAAGCAAGAGAACACAGTGATCCAGACCTGCGTCGTCGCTTGCTATGGCCTTGCTTTTAGCGGTAAAATAATCGTCAATTCTCAATTGCATTTATAAATTTCATTGTGTTAGGTTTTATTTTGCTAATTTTGATTATGATTTTTAAATGTTTTGATTAATTAAATCTGTAATCATAGTTTGTAATTGTCCATTGATTGAATTTAAGCTCTGAAGGATTAAGTTTAGTTGGAGCTTGTTATGGTTCTGTCTGGCGTTGAATTTTGCTTTCTTGTTTTCTTGGATGGACAGTTGCTTTCTTTCTTGAGTTTTAATGTATTTCCTTTACTCAATGTGTGATTGTTTGACAGGGGGTTTTGGTTCATATATAATTGCAATGGATGAGAGAACATATAACCTTATCGGTGTGGATTACCCTGGTAACCGTGCAGAAGATGTTAAGAATCCAGGGTTGCTGTGGATGATTGGTTTTCTATTTGTTGTCAGCTTCCTTGGGCTTTTTAGTCTTGTTCCACTACGAAAGGTAACCATCTTCGTTGGCGTTTCTGGTTGACTTGCAACAGGTCTTCATTAGCATTATCATTGTTACTGCTTTCAACACTAAAACTATCAGCATATACTGATCTTATTGTATGACTAGTTTGGACTTAGGCTGAAGTTGCATTTTATAGTTGAGATCCAATCTTGCTTTCCTAAATATGGTTATGGTCTCCATCTACAATCATGGACTCATGGACATATTGGTTTATTCTCTTTTTCCTTTTCTATTAATAAATCTTGTTGGTTGGGGCACTTTGGAATCAACTTTCCACCTCAAAATTTTATGTGTCATGTATTCCTATTTTTCATTTTGATAAAGGCCTTGGTTTTGACAGTGATGAATGGTGTTGTCTAATGTTTTACTTAGGCAATTGAAATATACAGACTTCTCTTACACTATGACCATTGACTAATTAAAATGTATTCTTCTTGTTTTTTTTTCTTTATTTTATTAGGTCATGGTCATGGATTATAAACTTACATATCCTAGTGGAACAGCAACAGCAATGTTGATAAATAGCTTTCACACCAACACCGGAGCTGAGCTTGCAGGGTAATTATTTCTTATTAGATATATAATGGACTTCATCTTTTTGTAGGTTTTGATATAATTCCTTTGGATGCATGATAATTACTTGGAAATTACTAGAAAAACTCACTCCATTAAGGATAGCTGAATTGAGTTTGGAAGGTAGAATGGTGAAAAAGAGGTCTATCACTTTCTGATAAACATGGACAGAACTTGTGTGGAATAGCTGCTGCTAAACCTTTAAACCTTATTATATGAGCTTTATGAAGTTCCCATCTGTCAATTTGGTGCCACACTCTCTGTTGATAAAAGTCAATTGTCTAATTTACATCTTGTGCTTTTGTCAGATATACTGTAAATTCAATGCTTGTGGTGAAAAAGTACGAAGATATAATTTGATCTTCATAATAATTTACTTTCTTATGAATTTATGACAGGAAGCAAGTCAAGTGTCTTGGAAAATATTTGAGCATAAGTCTATTATGGAGTGGCTTCAAGTGGTTCTTCAGTGGTATTGGGGATTCCTGTGGTTTTGATAATTTCCCCACCTTTGGTTTAGCACTATTCAAAAGCACGTAAGTTTCTTTTTCATTTTAGTTTCTTATGTTTAATTTCTCTAATAAATCTTGTATGATTAATGAGTAATCTCAATGGAGTACTGTATTTTTGGCTCCATCTAAATGTCTGTGAGATGCATGCTAAATAACATCCTTAATGCAGGTTCTATTTTGACTTCAGTCCAACATATGTTGGATGTGGTCTGATTTGTCCTCACATAGTCAATTGCTCAGTTCTTCTTGGGGCTATCATATCTTGGGGTTTCTTATGGCCCTTCATTTCTTCACATTCTGGGGACTGGTATCCTGCTAACCTGGGGAGCAATGATTTTAAAGGTCTTTATGGTTATAAGGTACAGTGAAAGAGTTTTCATTCTTCAGTGCCTTCAGTTAGTTATATACTTGTATAAGGTTTATTATTTCTGGTCTTTTGGTTTATGCTGTGCTTTTCCTTTTCTTGTAACTGTGGTCTAAAGAAAGTTTTCCTTCCCACCACATTGTAAACAGGTGTTTATAGCTATTTCCCTTATACTTGGGGATGGACTATACAACTTGATCAAGATAATAGCCATAACTGTCAAGGAAATGTGCAATATGGGCACCAGACAGATCAGCCTTCCAGTTGTCAATGAGGCTATAGGTAGGATAAAATATATGCCAGTGGAGAGAACAATGATTGCTTGCAAAGCAACTGTTGTAATTACTGCATTCTGCTTGCACTAATTTTATTTCTTTTGC